ATAGAGATGGAGAATAGATTAGTGGTTGCCAGAGGCTAGGGATGGGTGGAAGAGATGGGTATAGTTATATCTGTGTCCAGATAACACAAGGACAACGCAATAAGGTACAGTTGAATATATTGATGGTAGTAGTGGTTATGCAAGGCTACATATGTGATAAAATGGCATAGAGCTGCACCTACACACACACACACACATACACACACAAATGAGCTCATATATAACTATGATACCTGAATAAACTCTATGGGTTTTATCTATGCCAATTTCTTGCCTTTGATGTTGTGCTATAGTTGTCTAAGATGTTAACTTTACCAAAGGCTGGGGGAAGGGTGCAAGAGCATGAGATTTCCCTATAAATTGCTTTGCAACCTCCTGTGAATCTATACTTATTTCAAAATATTTTTAAAAGTCAAGCATCCCAGTGGAAAGTCTGAATTACTTTTCTATTCTTCTTATAGAATATTAAAAACATTGTCATTTGAAGAAGTAATCAGAGAATAAATATGCAGTCAAAAATGTAAAGGGATAACAGTGAGGTATTACAGAGGCATACCAAGAAACTAATTAATAAAAATAATGTCCTTTTTTTTTCTGGATTCTATATGTAGTATATTAGCTTTTTAAAATTTGTGATTTGTGATTTCTTTCTTATTCTAACTAAATATTCACTTTCCTACCTAAAATAAAATTTATTTCAATAGTGGGTGAGATATTGGATCTGGTTGAAAAAGATAATATAGTGTTTGATTAGAAACAAGACATGAAAGGGGTTAAATGAAATATTACTGATAAATCTTCTGGTTAACTTATTATTATGCTAAATAAAACTGCTATGAAATATATTAAATACTAAATTTAGAAGGGAAAAGCCCTACTGGCTGAAAAAATTAAGACCAGAAAACGATTTTAAAATGTTAAAAATTTTTAAATTATACTAGTTATGAATGAATAAAAGTGATATCACATGCTATTTGGCTTTGATCTGAGATAATTCACAAAGAGAGGCAAAGTTTATGCATTTTAAAAGCAAGCAAAAAAACCCATAACTGACCTAAATGATTAAAAAAAAAAAAAAAGACTACCACTTACATCCTCTCCTAGGGTGTGAGGAGCATCAGATTATGCTAGTCCAAAATATGTCACTTTGGTATATGAGTTATTTTGAATCAAAGGTAAGTGAGAAAAAGCAGATACAAGAAATTCCTCTTGCCCTTCCTCTATTTGCCTAAAGGCAGGACGTAAATTTACAAAGGTGTCCCTCTTCTTCTCTCTACCAGGAAGGAGAAAGGTTAATTCCTAGAGATAATTTTAGACCCTATCAGCCTGGAGAAGGCACCAGAAGAATCTTTATAACACTTTTACTAACTAGCCTTTATCTCTGTCCTTGAAAGCCTAAAACTACTCTCCTTTGTTCTCTCATTTCTTCACAAATTTGTTCCTTGATGAAGATGCTATAAAAGCCAAATTCTAAGCCACCTCTTTGAGTTACTCATTTTCCCCTACTTATCTTCCATGTATACATCATGTTAAAAAACTTTTGTTTCTCTTTTCTTGTTAATCATCTTTTATTACAGTAGTCTTTTATTATAATCAAGAACTCAGAAGTATGAAGGGAAAATTATTTTTCCTCCCTACAAGTAAATTCCATGAATT